GTTCCACTATGTTGGCCAGGCTGGTCTTGAACTCCTGACCTCAAGTGATCCACCCACCTTGGCCTCCCAAAGTGCTGGGATTACAGGCATGAGCCACTTTGCTCATCTTTAAAATGAAGCAATTGGTGAAGACGATTTTTCTAAGTCCTCTTGGGGCACTAACATCCCAAATTATAGTAATCCATATCTGAAGAATGGTACATATAAACAGAGACTTAAACTATTAAGTTAAATTCTATTTTGACAGTGAGAAAGAATGAAAAAAATATTAACTTAAGGAAAAATAGATGATTGAAATGTCCTAGGCCTTATATTTTATAAAATTGTTTTAAATAAATTACATGTTTTTAAATAATTTCTTAATCACATACCTACCTTGGTGATTATAGATCATAGTTGCTTTTTTTTTTTTTGAGATGGAGTTTCGCTCTTGTTGCTCAGGCTGAAGTACAATGGCTTGATCTCAGCTCACTGCAACCTCCACCTCCTGGGTTCAAGCGATTCTCCTGCCTCAGTCTCCTGAGTAGCTGGGATAACAGGTGCTGGCCACCACACCTGGCTAAGTTTTTTGTATTTTTAGTAGAGACGGGGTTTCACCCTGTTGGTTAGGCTGGTCTCCAACTCTTGACCTTCGGTGATCCACCCGCCTCGGCCTCCCAAAGTGCTGAGATTACAGGCATGAGCCACTATGCCCAGCCGTCACTTCTGTTTTTAAAGGAGGATGTGTCAGTGGATAATCTAGCACATCATCAGATTCTGTTATGTTTGATAATTGATCAAACACATAATACATCTTATGTAACTGTTAAGCATCTGCATAAGATGCTGAGCTACATGAGTGTGAAAGAAACAGAATTAGAATTTTGATTCACTTGCAAGATGAAACATTATGAAGTGAGAGAATTGGCTTACAGTAGTCTAAGTAGTACAACCAATACTGCAGAGGATGAAGGTGAAAGCTGGGCTCCTGCAGGAACTTGAGATACCAGCCTTGGAGGGGTCATCTACTCCCTTTCACCCTCTCTCCTCTGACCCTTGCATATTCCAGTCAGGCAGGACTGGACGGAAAAGGCAGAGCTTTGTGTTGTAGCAAATACAAGATGCTTTAAATTCTCACATTAATAAATACCTGACTAATATGCTGCATGAACTGACCCACATAGAAGAGATATAAGGTTCACTGATCTTTTTAGTTTTCTATGGAAAAAAGGCAAACTTGTGACTTATTTTTTTCTTTTCTGTTTATTCTGTTTTAGTACTAGTGCAAGTTAGGAGTCCCTGAGATAAGAGCTGCTTTTGTTGTTTCTAAATACTAAACATTCTCCATCTCTCTCTAGTCAACTTTTTGGAATCGAAATACCTAAAAAGCATACAATTGGATTGTAAGAACATTCATGCTTTTAATACTTCACCATCAAAATGCTTAATTCCATTTTCTCTCAATTCTCCCTCCAGATAGCCAAGTGGAATAATACCTTTTAAAGGCTTCAAGACTTTTCTTTCCCACTCTTCCCCGCCCACTTGTGGGAGCCTCCATTTTAGTAACAGAAAAAAAATGCATTTGAAATAAGGCATTAGCCTGAGGTAACTTACCCCCACCTTGGCTCCAGAGCAGCTTGGATTTCCAATTCTTTGAGCAGGTCAGTGATTTGGGGAACCAGTAAAAGAGCCGAGCTATTCTTCTGAAGGTCTCGTGAAAGTCACTTCTTATGGCCATAGCGAGAACCAGGAGTGTTCCAGAACGACTCTACCGAGAGCATGGATGAGGAGCACAGTAACACCCACATATGACACTTTAGCTGTGAACTGCCTTTCAGCCAATATGTCTGGGGACCACCTGTTAGCCCTAAATCCCCTTCCTCTGTCATTCTTTTGGCTTGTCCTTTAGACCTTGGCCCTCGTAACTAGAAACTGTATTAATAGATGTTCTTTCTAAAGAAAGAGTTTTACGCTTTCTTAAGAGAAGCTCTAACCTAATGCAACACTTGAAAATTTTCAAGCATGGACCTCCTGACCTCTTTCATAAAAACACAATTATTTTCATAGAGGAGTGAAAAAAACAGAACAGTATCCACTAATTCAACTTCCAACAGAATTGTCAGTGGTAATTTTCAGGACTTAGTGGTGATGGACAAGCAATCTCCTAAAGCTGTAGTCTTGATCCCATTTGTTTTGTGCATTTTTACTGGGAAAATGAAA